AAATGAACAGAGAAAATGAACAATATTTTAAACAATCAAAAAGGAAAATAACAAAGAAAATAATCTTCTAGACGATCAGAAGGCTTTAGTTTCAGGGTGATACACAAGGTGTCACAAGATGCTCACATTGGGATTTTTGTGTTCCCTTCTGTGGAGAGGAGAATTCCCATGAAAAGATGAGCCTGGACTCTGCTCTGACAGAGCTGCTTTGGCTGAGGACAGTTTCCTGCCACCCCAGCCATTACATGCTGAAGACTATTGAATGTGGCAGCTGGGGACCATTTCTGAGCCCTCTTGGTGTCTCTGTAGTTTGTGGAGTATCCTGAGTACTTGGATCTTCGGCCATACATGTCTGACACAGCTGGAGAACCCCTCCTCTGCTCCTTATATGCCATCGTGGTTCACAGTGGGGACACCTGTCTTGAGGGACACTTTTTGTGCTACACAAAGGTAAGGAGCAACTTCCCTCCTGACAGGGAGAAATGTGTGCTGGGAAAGACAAACTTTCCCAGCAGTGCTACTGGCAGCCAAGGTTTTGGGGGAGAAGGTCTCCTTTGGGGCTCGACTGGATATGCTTTTGAGCACTCCTGGTTTGGCAGTTTTCTGCCTTTGGTGTTGTGGAGAAACCCTGCAGCTCCTCTCCAGAACTGGACACCTTTCTTTGCAGGCCAGCAATGGGCTGTGGTACAAGATGGACGATGAGTCTGTGGATAATTGTGACATCCACACAGTTCTAGGGCAGCAAGCCTACTTGCTGTTCTATGCCAGGTAATAACCAGGATCATGTGGTCAGAAAACATTTCCTTATCCTGTCTTAGCCATCTGTTTTCTCCTTCTCCTGATTCTGCCATAGGAGAAAATACCTTCATATATCCTTCAATGCTGTCACTTCTGAACTACCCCTCTCCAGTCCTCCTCTTTCCCTGCTGGGCTTTAGGGTGCTGCCCTGTGTAAACTGCCCCTTGTCTGCTCTCTGAAGCTGGCTCGTGTAGAGAACAGGACTTAAAGGGAGCCCCTAGGAAAGATGGGGAGGGACTCCTTGTCAGGGAGTGTAGTGATGGGGTAAGGGGAAATGATTTTAAAGTGAAAGAGGGAAGATTTAGATTAGATATTAGGCAGAAATTCTTCCCTGTGAGGCTGGTGAGGCACAGAATGTCCAGAGAAGCTGTGGCTGCCCCCGGATCCCTGGAAGTGTCCAAGGCCAGGTTGGACAAGGCTTGGAGCAACCTGGGATAGTGGAAGGTGTTCCTGCCATGGCATGGGGATTGGAATGAGATTTCTTCCATCCATATTCTAGGATTCTGTGGAGGCCACAGGGGGTAAAAAAGACAAGGACTCGCTCTGACAGTGGCAGACCTGGTGGGAAGACCCTGATTAAACTTCCTAGTGGTGACCTTGGTGAAGTCTTCTCTCTGTTGCTCCAAGGAAGTGACTGAATCCCAGAGGAGTCTACAAGGAATGCCTGAAGCAGAGATAACTCTTTTTTCCTCCAGGTGCTCGGATTTGAAAATGAGAGAAATGATGGCTTCATCAGCAGCAGCACCATATTCCCATTCCACCCTCGGCCAGGGAGGGGCCAGCCAGCAGCAGGCAGGTTCCTCAGCACCACAGGGTCTGCCTGGCAGGATCAAGGGGATGTACAGCCAGAGGTACCACGCCAGGGAGAGGGCCCGGAGCAGATCCCCACAGTGGGACAATGATCTCTGCAGGTGGATCATCAACAGCACCAACTCTGGCAACTTAACAGGAAGGAGGAGGAAGAGAACCAGTCCTTTATGCCTTGACTGTGCTCCCAGGAATGCCACAGCTCCAGGACCCTCTAGCAGGATCTGTCAGCAGGTGCCTGTACCAAGCCTTGCTTGGGTGCAAACCTTGCCAGCACAGAGAGAGCTGGGCAGATCCTCATGGCAGGACTATGCTCTCTGGAGCCAGGTTGTGGAGATCACAAACTCTTACCAGTCAGTGAGGAGGTCTGAGCGTCCCAGAGATGCATGTCAGACAAGCACAGACTGGATGATGCAGCAGCACAGCATCTGAAACAAACAAAACCCCACCTGTTTGGAATCAACCAGCAGAAAAGCCATAGCCAGAATTAAAACTCCTTGTTGGCTTGTGGAGGACCAGACCTAAGTATGTTTTGTGTCAAACATTCTGATTATTACAACAGGGAAGGACATTGGAGGAGAGTCCTGCAGAGGTGGGGCAGCAGTGTGCTGAGCCAAATTCCTGCTCTGCTTTGACACTCATGCTCACTTCCCAGAAGAGAGCCAAAAGAGCTGGCTGTGCATGCATGAAGAAAACAGCTCAAAAAATTAAGTCTGTGTAGTAGTTTGTTAGCCACCAAATTAACTATAAAACGAAGCCAATTGCCTCCCCGGCTCTTTTCCCTCTTTTTCTCTGGCTTTTTTTGTCTTGCAATCCCAGCTCCAGATCATCCACACTAGAACCAGCATGGGATCTATGGACTGGTGACAAGCTTTGTTCTCTCTCCCTTTTCTGTCTTTATTACTCTCCTCCCTTGGTTTGTCTGGACAAAGCATGGCTGTGATATCCTACCCTGTGCTTCACACTGAAGTTTGCTGAGGGAGTGGGAAGCTTGTGGAAGTGTGTTGTGCCTTGTTATCCAGCACCTTTGAGGAGCTTGTGGTGGGAGTTGAGAAATTATTGAAGTGTACTATATGAAATTAAGGGCTTGTCAGCCACCACTCATGGAAGCCTAATGTAGGATTTAAGGGTTTATTAGCCAACATCTTTTAAGCCTAAATATTGGGCTGGTTGCCAGAGTTATGGCAACAATAAAACACAAAGAATTCCCTGACACATCATCCAGTGTCTTTGTTGCGGCTGATGACAATTTACAATGGACATCATGCCTCTGACTGGTGAGCTGTGACATGGTCATGTAAGAGTCATTTACAGGGTGTTTCCTTCTTCGTAGGCTTCGAGGCAGTGGTGGAAATACCCATCATGAGATGTTTGTGTGATGAGATTTTGAAAGCTGTGTGCTTGCATGTGCCCATCTAGCAATCTGGTGTTTTTAAACACAGAGTTCAAGTCACTCCAAGGGACATGGGCTGGATGTGCCAATAGTGACTGAAAAGGGCTTGCAGAGCCAGGCCCTGAGGGTGCTGCTCACCACAAGTATGGAGCCAGGAACAAGCAACATCTCCCAAGGGTCAGGAGCTGATCCTGCTGAATGTCTTTCTTACCTGGATGCTGGGGCAGAGAGAACTCAGCAAGCTGGCACAGGACACCAGGAGGAATGGTGCTTGGGTCAGGGGACTCGCCCCACTACAGCAGTGACACGGGCAGATTGTCAGCCTGGATGAGGAAGGAGCAGATGATCTGACTTCTGCAGTTCCAGACAGGAAGCAGAGGAGTGCAGAAAGTACCAGAAGCATCCCTAGTAGGGAGCAGCTTGCACAAAGAGCACCAGCAGCCTGCCCTGATCTCCTCTCAGTGCTGCCTCTAAGAAGGAAGCACCCAGGGAGACATTGCAGAAACTTGCCCAGCTCTGCCAGCTGGTCCCTCATCCACAAAGAGGCTTGGACACGAAGAACAGGAGTCCCTTCAGAAGTTCCCTGCTCATCCAGGCGGGCTGTGATCCCTGACAGCTCGTCTTTCAGCACACAGGGACAGCCTGCTGCTGTGCCTTCAAGATTACTTTCTTGAAGTACATCCATCCTTCCTGGATCCCTTTGTTTTTAAGGGCTGTTTCCCAAGGAACATTCCAAACCAGCTTCTTGAAAAGGCCAAAACCTGCCCTCCAGAAACCCAGTGTGGAAATTTTGTTAGTGCCCCTCCTGGTTTCACAAATTATTGAGAATCCTGTTATTTCATGATCATCAACCTGGAGGTTATTATTCAAACAATAAACTTGCCTTCAGAACCAAACCCTGTGTGAGGTGGCACTTTAATCTCTGTAGAACAGGGCTTTGGTTGGTTTTTTGTTTGTTTTGTTTTTTTTTTTTTAACTGGGAAAAGAGCCAAATTGCCTGAAAAGAAGGCTTTGGAGAGGAAAAACCCTGCTTGGAATTCACAAAAAGAGAAGTTGTGAACTGAAACATTTTTGGACACTAAAAATGAGACTTTGTAGACTAAAAGGAGCTGATTAGGAAGCCAGAACTAAGACCTTGGGAAGGAAACATGAAGTTTAGGATCATCCCAATGTAGATTTGTAGCACAGTCAGGACTTCTGTCCAATAAATGAGGGTTTGGACGCAAACAATGAAACCCTGTGCCCTAAAAAAGGCAACAGCTAATATAAAAGAGGTTGGGAGCCCAAAACTTAGGATTTTGGCCCCAAAATGGTGGCTGTAGGCATGGAAAAAATTAATAGTTGAGAGGCTACAAATTGCCTTGCAAATCCTGCAATAGAGGTGAACCTCTCTGGCCCCAAGAAGTGAAGCTTTGGTGCTGAACAGAGGGCTCCAGGCACTCCAGTGGAAACTTTGAGTGGTAAAAAAGGGATTTGGACCACCCAAAAGAAGGGTTGGGTCTTAAAAAGGGGGCTTGGGGCCCTAAAAATTGAGCTTTGAAAACAGAGAGTTTGAACCCTGAAGTTAGGTTTTGTGCCCTCAAAGGATGCTTTGCTGACACAGTTTAAAGCTTTGCCCCTAAAAAGAGATGTTAAAGCTAAAAAAAAAGGCCTAAAATAGATGTTAAGAGTATTTTTGACCCTAAAAAGAGATGTCCTTTGGGGCCCCAAAAATTGAGCTTTGAAAACAGAGTTTGAACTCTGAAGTTAGGTTTTGTGCCCTCAAAGGATTCTTTGTTGCCTCAATTTAAAGCTTTGCCCCTAAGAAGAGATGTCCTTTGGGGCCCCTGGAGCCTCTCCTTCCCTCTGCCTCCCCCACCCAGGATGTCCCTGGAGTCCCTCCCTGTGTTCTCCCCCTCGCTGTGGGGGCAGCAGCTCTGTACCTCCCATCCCCGGGCTGTTCTGGTCCCCTTAAGGGCCCGTGGCCAGCACTGGCCCCATGCCCTGAGCCTGACAGGCGTTCCCAGCTGCTCCACCATGGAGGAGACGTGAGTGCACCAGGATCTCCGGGGCTTCCCCCGCCGTGGGCACCCCCTGAACCCTCTGTTCCCGCAGGGTGCCCTCGGTGGAACGCTACGAGGCGGCCATGGTGCTGAGTGGGGTGGGGGACGCGCTGGGGTACCGGGGGGCCCGCTGGGAGTACTGCACCTCGGGCCCCCAGATCCACGCCGAGCTGGCCCAGCTGGGTGGGCTGGCAGCCATCAACCTGGAGCCCCCCGAGTGGCCCGTCAGCGATGACACCGTCCTGCACCTTGCCACCGCCGAGGGGCTGGCCACAGGTGCGGGGGCTCCGTGACACCCCACTGACACAAGGGAGGGGTCCCTGGGCTTGGGGTCCCCATTGTTGTGGAGGGAGTGTCCTCAGTATGTCCCCTAGAGGATGGAGAGTCCCTGCTCTGTTCCTTGGGCTGCGTGGTTGGTGTCTGGGGGTGCGGCTGGGTACCCCCTTACAGCCCCAAATATGTCGGGGAGGTCCCCATTACATCCTGACTCAAACTGGAGGATTTCTGGGAGGAGCTCTGGGAAGGTCTTGTCCAGCTTTGGGGGCATCTTCATTCCACTTCCCCCCACCTTTTAGGGGTTTCCAGGGAGGCTTTGGCGGGATGTGTATCCTCGTTTCCTCTGGGTGGGGTGGCATGGGGAGTGTGAGTCTGTGTCTGTGTGTCTTCCCTCATTTATGTGCCCTTTCCTCCTCTACTGGGTGCTGCAGAAGGGGACATTTCCCCCTCCCATTTTGGGAACCTGGAAGAGTACCCCTCTCACTCAGCTTGGAGTGCTCAGGAGGATTCCCCATTTCTCCACAAAACTAGTGCTGCTTCCCCTCCAGTTTTGGGAGATCTGTGGGGCAGTGTCCCCTTTCCCCACATTTTTGGGGGTGGTGCAATGGGGATCTTCTTATCCCCTTTCACTTTTGGGGGTGCATGGGGCCTCTCCCTGCCAGCCTGGGTAACCCAGGTGGGTGTTCACACCCCTGCACAGGCCTGGAGGGGGAACCCCTCCTGCAGGAGCTGGCTCGCCGCTACGTGGCCGCCATGGGGGACATGGAGGGACGCAAGCCGGGACCCAGCAGCATCCTAGGTGAGCAGAGCCCCAGGATCCGGGGAGAGGCAGGGGGGCTCAGGGAGCCTCACGCCCCCGTGTCCTCCCAGGCACCTCCCAGCTGCGGCCAGGGGAGCCCGAGGGCTATCGCATCCCCTTCAACCCCCGCGGCACCGGCTGCGGGGCCGCCATGCGCAGCCTGGCCATCGGCCTCAGGTGGGCACGCTGAGGGACACCTGGGGACACCTGGGGACACCTGGGGACAGGGATGTAGGTATCAGAGATGGGGGGGTGGGGACAGGGATGTGGGGTGTCAGAATGAGTGGAAGGGGGGACATGGGGATGCCACATGGGGACACAGGATGGGGATAAGGGGGTGTCAGAGCTGGGGGAATGGGGACATGAGCATGTTTGGGCTGGGAAAATGGGGTGGGAAGGGGACATGAAGGGATGGGAGTAGGGTAAGAGGGACATGAGGATGTCAGAGGGACAGGAACAGGGGACACAGTGTGGTGGGGACATGGGGTTGGTGGAGCTGGAGAGGACAAGGTCCAGAGCTTGGGGACATGTGGTGCTGGAGCTGGGAGATTGGGGACAGAGAACATGGAGACAGCAACAGGGCAGAGGGACACAGGTCACAGAGCAGCTGAGAGTGGGACGTGGAAGTGATGGGGCTAGGAGAATGAGCACAGCAGGGACAAGGGTGGTGGTATGGGAATGGGGATGAGGCTGGAAATACAGGAGCAGGGGAGTGGGGACTGCTCTGATGCCAGCGCAGGTACCCGCACACCTCGGAGCTGCCAACTCTGATCCGGGTGAGCATTGAGAGCGGGCGCATGACGCACCACCACCCCACTGGTGAGTGCCAGACTGGCAGGGGTGGCCAGGAAGGGATAGCAGAACACCACTGAAGCCCGTGTCCTCACAGGGTACCTTGGAGCACTGGCAGTGGCCCTCTTTGGGGCACTGGGGGCTCGGGGAGAGCCCCCAGAGCGCTGGGGGGCTGAGCTGCTGCGAGTGCTGCCCCTGGCATGGGACTACGTGGAGGGCACTGGAGTGGCTGTGGAGGAAAATGCTGCTGCCTGGCCATTCTTTGGGGAGGCGTGGCACCGGTGAGCGGGTACTGTGAGGGTTCTGGGGGGACACTGGGAGCACAAGGAGGGGCTGGGAAGGATACTGAGAAGGGCTCAGGGGTCTATTCATGTCACTGGTACCAGCCAGGCTCTCTGCCAGTCCTGGCAGTGCATCCCAGCAGTGTCACTGGTGCCACTGCTGACCCTGATGCCCAGTCTCTCCACAGGGCTGGCAGTGCCCGTCCTGTCCCTGCTGCACCCAGTGTTCCTCGTGTCCCTGCCAGAGCTGCCATCCCCTGGAGTTCCAGGGGCACTGGGTTTTCTTGGTGTTATTGGTGTCCCCACTGCATCCAGTGCCTTGCTACCCCCCCAGGTTTCCTGGTTGTCCCAGTGTCCCCACAGCTATCTGGGGTCACAGGGGCTGCTGGAGAGCCACAGCCCAGTGACCCCCAGTGTCACTGGTTACCCCATTGTCTGGTGACACCAGTGTCCCCAGTGACCTCAGCGTCCTCATGCCTCTGCAGGTACCTGGACTCCCGTGGGCTCCTGGAAGGCCGTGGCCCACCGCGGGTGCCATCCCTCCCATCCCCAGCTGAGCGGGACACGGAGTACCTGGGCTGGGCACTGGAGGGGTGGCCAGGGCGCAGCGGCCACGACGCACCCATGGTGGCCTTGGAGGCGCTGCTGGCGGCCGGCGGGAGCTGGGAAGAGCTGTGCGCCAGGGCGGTGCTGCACGGCGGGGACAGCGATTCCACGGGGACCATTGCTGCTGGCTGCTGGGGGCTGCGGGGAGGGCTGCTGTCCGTCCCCCCGGGGCTGCACTGCCGCCTGGAGTACCGCGGCCGGCTGCGCCACGCTGCCCACCGGCTCCACGAGCTGGCCTGGGGAGCACCGTGAGCGTCCCTGCTCGCACCTGCTGTCCCTCTCCACGGAAAGCTCCCGGGGGCTGCCACAGCAGAGACCAGCACGGGGTCACAGGGGAGTTGGCAGGCCTGGGAGACCCTTGGGTGAAGCAGGGCCCTTCAGGGTGTGCTGGGGTGCAAGGCGAGCCCCAGGGAGAGCACCACAGCTGTGTCCATTGTAGTCCTCCCCAGGCAGAGCCCAGAAGCCGCCCAAGGAGCCTCAGTAAAAAAACATCTCCCGAGTCACTCCGTGTCTGGATTTGTGCCCCTGCGCCTCTCGTCCTGCCTCTGCCAGCACTTAAGGTCCAAAGCATTACTCTTCACATTCAGCCCCAAGCTTCTCCAAGTGCAAACCTTTATTTTTATAACACAATCCTCAAAAGTATGGAAAACAGCACCACTTTTAAATCAACAAAGCCTACACTTGGAAGACCAAATAGACCATTTAAACCAAACCGACATCTTCATGCTACATTTATACATTCAAAGGTTTATGTTTTTAAAGTTCAAAGACTCATTTAGAGGGCCCAGAGTGTCGTTTTGAAGGCCCCAAGTTTGATCTGGGTTACTCACAATGCCATCATTGTCACCCACTGCACAGACAGACCCACGGATGCAGTCCTGCCTCAGAAAGGCTGCTGGAAGTCCCCGGGGCAGGTTGGGGGTGTGCTGACGAGTGCTGTATTTGCTCTCCTCCCCCTTATTTTGTGGGGACCAACGTCCTGGGGATCTGGAGCCTTGGGGCTGCTCCTTCCAACCATTTCATGGGGAAACTTTGTAGTTTTGGGGAGATCCTCCCAAACATTGGGGCCCTCTGGTGGAGTCCTGGGGCTTCTAGAGGCGTCCCCCAGACTGCCTCCAGTCTCTCACTGTTTAATAAAAGCGGATTCGAGGCCCCGCAATTTATCGGCGCCCTCCTCCACTGCCTCCGGTTCTGTAGGCCCCCCATATCCAGCCCAGACCTGCCCCGGGCCCGGTAACCCGCTCCGTTCCGTATCCCCCATGGGAGCAGAACGCGACCATGATCAAAGGCGGCCGGAACCCCTCAGGGAGCAAGGGAAGGGGCGGGGCCTCCACAGGCGGGCCTGGCTCCACCTTTTCCCCCAACAAAATGAGTGACAGCTACAGTAACCAATGGCGTAGTGGGGCGGGAGGCGGGGCTTCTATTTATAACCAATGGCAGATGGAGGCTGGCGGGCAGCGTCGAGCTACTAACGGCATTGCGATGACGGGCGGCGCCTGCAGCCAATGAGCAGCGGAGGGCGGTGCGGCCAGCCAATGAGGGGGGCGGGCTGCGGCGGGGCGGGG